ATCTCTTTTATTGCCTACTCATTACTCATTACGACACCCCAAAGAATCACACTCAAATTTTAACTATCATTTTTTACGCTCGTGGTGCACACATTGTTATCCCGACCACATTTGCATCAAAACTCATTAGTCAGGTAAATTAAACTGTCTCCACCTGGGAATAATAGACCTTTGAAAAGCCAAAATGGAAGTTATTTACATTTCTAATGTGATTACCGCTTAGACGGCAGTAAAAACAATGCCTTCTTTCCTTTTACATTGCTTTCGTTAGACATTAATAACACAAGTACTTACCTACCACCAAGGCGCGTCACCTTAGATCCCCCGGTGGAAACGTAGAAACTTGGAAAGTCTTGGAAGACGAAACGGCAGAGCTCATTTACATTCGCTTTGTGTTGACTTCGCGAAACAATTATAATCTTCGCCCTCGATGTGTGCATATAGTTTCGTTTGTTAAGAAAGGTGTTTTCATCCTGAATGCCGCGCATTGTGTGTGCGGAAGTTTTCTACATAACTAGCTCGTTCCCGGTGCGCGCCATTGTCGCCCTCCGCAAGCTATTGTATGTCTTAAATTAACTTTAAAATGTCGCGGCGCCTTAGGTGATTTACGAGAAAACTGGAGACATCCGCGCGACAACAAGACAAGGAGCTTTCTGGTGTGGTGTACCTTGTTATACGTTATCATCGCTCTGGAGCTTTAGGTGCAAGGCAACAATTCTATTATTTCAGTGTGTTTGTTTTGCGAAGATGTGTTTGAAACAATAGACAAAACTATTCATTCAAAACTAAATTCAACTAAACATTGCATTCGAAGATGTTTAAATGTTTTCGGCGTGCAGGCGCATTTTAGAGAAAGTTTGGTGGATGTGTGTGCTGCGCTGGGAATAGCAACAGGTTTCGATAGTTCGATCGCGATTAAAGGGCGCTATTGAAAAATGTCCAGGAACACTCCACTCCGTTTCGGCGGCGGCTTGTAACAGATTGCGTCGAGCGGGGGATTGCATGAGCTTTTATAACGCTTATTCATGACGAGACTTTATGAATCTGTTCCTACGAAATTCCGACTTTTTCTTATTATATTCTGTGTATAAAATGTTCTGTCAGTAGTTGAGCGTATAAATATTTATCGCGTGCAATTAGGAATGCTTTTTCAAATCATAACATTTGCATTCAATCGACGATTCGATGAATTTCGCTTCGCTGGTGACCTTAATAAATGTACATGCATTTTTGTGTACTCGCGTTCGCCGTGAGGCAATAATGTTTTCTTGTAGCCGCGCGCGCCCGCCGATTTGAAATCGATATTGGACTTTGTCCAAAATAAATATGTGCATTCCAGTTGCGAGAATTCCAGCGCCAGCGAGCTGCAATTGTACACATCGAGGGCAGGCCAGCCCATATTTATATTGTTATTGTAAATTGTTGAATATTTTCGCTATTTAGAGCTTCTACGCTTCTTCAAACTCAAGTCGCAATTGTCTTTTAAATTATACTAGCTGTTGCCCGTGACTTCGTTCCGGCAGTGTTTAATAAAAATGTAATTCGTTTTTACTCTCTTGTTCTAGACATACTCGTAGTAAGAGTCAATTCTATCAATAAGATTAGCAATTTTAATTTAAAGAAATTATGCATATAAAGTTTTGTCAATAATGCACTTCAGCGCGCCATCTCGAATTCAACTATTTAACTATAACTATGATTGAATCTCAATGTCAAATTTGATTCTATAGAAAAGAGCTGTTTTAAGGATTTTCCCGGCAATTATTCGAATTTTTCTCACCTTTTAAACCTTCCCTAGACCTCCACGAATAATTCAAGACCAAGATAAGATAAATCCGTTCAGCCGTTCTCGAGTTTTAGCGAGACTAACGAACAGCAATTCATTTTTATATATATAGATTATTATAAAATCTATGCGTTATTTTTGGAGTACCTTCAATATACCCGCATATTTCCACCAAAGGTAAACCTGCATCAATTTATTGCCCAGAATCTGCGACACAGATGTGTCACGGGATTTTCGTAAACATCATGTTTAATTGTTGTTTATCCACGTCAAGATGGTCAAGATGTGCGACCAAATGTTGCAGGGCTTCATAAACCTAAAAACGTGAATGAAGCATACCAAATAGAAACCAGACGCACACTTTACCCATGACGGTGCAGTGCACCCCCTCGTAGTCACTCTGACCTGTGCCACGTTGAGTAAAACCCCATTCTCGACACGTCCCGGAGGTAAACGTGAACGTGAACGCGATGATTGTATACGCACATCTGTCGTACAGATTTTTTTCTCTCCTCGCTTGTTGGTTGCTCCCAGAGCTTTTGTTTCTTACCTGACTCTCGGACACATACGCGCACCATATGGGGTGATATTGTGTCAGCCTCGCAATGGAATACATTAACATTACATGCATAAGGGAAATAAACAAAACGTTAATGAATTTTGCCAAAAACGAAAAATTCCATTGTAATTACATTAACAATCGGCGTAATTCTCAAACAAATATTATTATTCCTCTATTGCGTTCGTTCGCAGTAATTTTAAAATGTCACGTAGCAATTACAACCAATGTTCAAATTCAATATTTATTTTCTATTGTATTCCGTCGAGTTATTTTGTTGTTGTTGCCGTCGTTGCGTGCTCGTTATGTTTGACCGGCCATTTGAATATTGTGTACACATTTTGATAAAAACACGAAAAGCATGATGCTTGCATAGTCAAAGTTGTAATTTATTCTGTTTGTACACTTATAATGCCTTTTCGAGTGTTTGTTTAAAAGGTTCGTCAATGCAAATCTGCTAATGACATGAAAATGATTATCAGTTCTATTAGTTTAGTCATCAATTTCAGTTCTTGTATCTACATATATAAAAATGAATTGCTGTTTGTTAGTCTCGCTAAAACTCGAGAACGGCTGAACAGATTTATCTTATCTTGGTCTTGAATTATTCGTGGAGGTCTAGGGAAGGTTTAAAAGGTGAGAAAAATTCGAATAATTGCCGGGAAAATCCTCAAAACAGCTCTTTTCTATAGAATAAAATTTGACATTGAGATTCAATCATAGTTATAGTTAAATAGTTGAATTCGAGATGGCGCGCTGAAGTGCATTATTGACAAAACTTTATATGCATAATTTCTTTAAATTAAAATTGCTAATCTTATTGATAGAATTGACTCTTACTACGAGTATGTCTAGAAGAAGAGAGTAAAAACTAATTACATTTTTATTAAACACTGCCGGAACGAAGTCGCGGGCAACAGCTAGTTTTAAATAATTTCGACCGGAGGAGAATTCTATATTGTGGCAGTGTGAATAAATTTATAAAAGCAAGGGGTGTGCGAGGTAGAGAGGGTTGTGTGTAGCAGGAGGGGGTGGGGAGCGATGCGAATCGCACACAATCCGAATCGGACCGCACGCGTCAATTTGATATCGGGGGATTCGGAAGCTTCGGAAGATCCGAGATTTGGGGGCGGTGTACGTACGCCGTGCGCGTCTACGAAGCCGTAGGTAGAGCGAGCGGTGGGCACACGGCGCCGCACTTACGCCGGCGCGCGTCGGCGGGCAGGCAGGCGGCTTTTGGTGGGGGCCGCGCGCGCGAGAGGAACACCGGAGGTAGGGATGATGCCTCCGCTCGGTCGGATAGTGCGTGACACTAGTCCTGCCGCTGCTCACCTCCTTGCGTGACGTGCCAAAGAATCGCTCTCGTGTGCGTCCCTCTCGCCTCGTGTGCGCTGTTTCGCCGCCCGCTCAGTGGTGCCGTGCCAGTCATGGTGGCGCGTAGTGAGAGCATGTTCGGGTACTACGACAGCTATTCGTACCGACTTTGGAGTCTCGCCAATGTGTGGAACACCTGTCAATGTAAGTTACATTTTTTCATCATCAACGCGCGCATAAAAAATATCCCACACGTTGTTTGAGTGGTGCATATTTTCGAAAAGAAACGCGACTCACTTTAATGGATTTAAATTCGTTGGCGGGGTTAAGTGAATGGGTCAACTGGAGTGCGCCCGCTTATTATTATTACAGCCGACTGTAAACAAGAACGCATTAAATAATTACTAACAATTGTTGCGACGGGTTATGTAGACGCGGGGAGTCCGCGCGCGCGTCTAACACCAGCCAGCAGGTGGTTTATTTTACCTGTAAGGTGTTCGCTATGGCGACGCATGTATGAGTTTATCTGAGTGTTCATTGGCGCACAGGTGCAAAGTAGGAGGCGCTTCAACTTTTGACTCACGTGAATCGACAGGTATCTTGCGATAATTTCATTGGCCGTCAGCGTTTTCCACGAGATAAAAAATAAATTTAAACAATACAATCGTGGTTTTGTTTTGTAATAATAATGAATTGAACAATCGCTTTCTTTGATGTTTGATGTTGAGAATAACACCTAGCATTCACGAAGTTGGATCCGGTCAAAGTCGACCTGTACACCTAATCTCGGTATTTATTTACTTTATAAACGTCGTCGCTTGTGCGTGCGTGGCTTGTTTTATCAATCAATGCCGCGTTATTATCGCGCAACGCTTAGGAAGTAATAACAGGGATGAGTCACACTCGATCTGCCCACACAATGAAGACTTTTTTGATGATATGTGTGCGCGCCACACGAATAAATGCAATTAAATTGGAGCGTAATTGAAAGGAATGCGTTTCAATTTATTAACATTGATACATTCCACACACAGGTCTCTGTCAACAGCGCCGAAATGCGTCTTTTAAGTCTCTTTGAATGTTCTAAATGCGCGCATTACCCGTTGGCCGGTTCTCACGTTGAACACCAATTAAGCGTCCGCTTTGTCGGGAGTGGAGTGGCGAGTTTTTAAAATGCACGTACTACGTGCGCCACAAAGGAAGTGCCCGTTATGATGTTAAATAAGCGACAGACACTTTTAATAAAGCGTTCTGTGCGCCACATGTGCACTTTATGTAAATAGATTTTGCGCGTGGAATATGCGTGTGTGTAATATCGATTTCTTCTTAATGCGCTTGCAGTACCATCCCTCACGCCAAATGGACTGACCGTCAAAGATGAGGGCGACTCCCCCGACTACTTCATCAAGTGTCCACAATGCCAGAAGGGTTGCCAGACGTTTCAGCAGCTGAAGGAGCACATGGAAGCTTCGCATTCGGAGGCGTGCGCCTCTGAGAACGGTGGCGGCGCGCCGACGGTGTCACCGACGCCGAGTCTTGGTGGTCCCGGCGGGCCGTTTGGATGCACGCCGTGTTCGAATGCATCTTTCCCGACCCAGGATCAATTGGTGAAGCACGAACTGCTGGATTCGCCAAACGCACAAGTCGTAAGTTGCTGCTTGATTTCAATTTAAATGACTGTGCCTCGCGATGTCAATTGGTCAAATGTCAGCATGCGTTTTCTAATTGTGCGCACTCGAATTAATTGAAGCGGGTCATGTATACGGGCCTCGCAGGTCAATACAGTTGTTTGTTACACGCTAATAAATACGATCACGCCGCTGGCCGCGCCGCAGACGTGTTCGTTAACTAAGAAAAATCTAACGTCCAGCGCACACATTCTTATTACCAGCTCGTAATTTATTTTTAAGTACATTTAATGACGTGTATGCGCACAAAAACGCGACATGTGGCGCGGTTAAATGGCGGCAGCGTGTGAAAGAGTGTGGAGTGCGCTGGGCTGGCTTACGTGGCAACAACTCTCTTAACTCAATACTTGAATGTATACATATTCGAAGACAAAAAAAAAACGTTATGTGTGATGTCTTTTATGCGTGGTAATTCTAATTAACAGCCAACAGTTTAATTGACTGAACACTTGAGCCAGCGGCGACACAATCTTCAAATCATTCTGCGTCTGACGTCATTATAATATGTTAAATCTAAAAATATCTGCTTTATCGCTGGTAATTTGAAGCACGCACGCATTTGCATTCTTGCAATTTGTTGTGCCTTCGGTTATCGAACTTATCAAACCCACAAAATATCAAATAATTATATGATTCATATCGTAATGATGCATTTGGCGTATGATTCAAGCACACGTGTGAATTGCGCGGTGGTATTACTCTACTTATCGTGATATATTTTTGTTATTACAGTCTTGCAAAATTTGCAACAAAACATTCGCCAATGTCTACCGCTTGCAGCGACACATGATCAGTCACGACGAGAGCGCGTTACTGCGAAAATTCAAATGCACCGAATGCGAGAAAGCGTTCAAATTTAAGCATCACTTGAAGGTAAGTTTTTGGACGCTTGCCGTCGCGTTCGAATGGATTATGTGTGTGTGTCTGTTTGGCCGTGTTGTCTCATTGTGTTTTGTTTTACTTTGGCTACAGGAACACATACGAATACACAGCGGCGAGAAGCCGTTCGAATGCGGCAACTGCGGCAAGCGCTTCTCGCACTCCGGTTCGTATTCTAGTCACATGACGTCCAAAAAGTGCTTGGTTATGAATTTAAAATTGGGCCGCACGCGGGGCCCGTCCAGCAATGCGCTGCTAGAGAAGACGGGCACGCGCGGCCCCAAGCGCGCCGCAAATCCTGGCATCAACAACAACATCACGACGACTAATCACAACAGCTACTTACCGATTCTGCCGAAATACACGGACGCCGCGACGGCACTGTTCCAGAATCCGGCGATGCACCCGTTCTACATGGCGGCGCCATATTCGATACCCAGTATCGGCCAGATTCTCGAGCAGATGAACTGCGTCCCTCCGAATGCGTCACCATCGCTCGATGAGGATGATCATCAGCCTGCCAATGAAAGCAAGGATGAGAAATCGGATGATGTGGAAGTCAAGCGCGAAGCAATCGCGAGGAATTGTGATGAGCAGGAAATTGGCGACGATGGCGATGGGAAATCTACGAAGGAAGAGGTGGTAATGAATGGCGCCGTCGCCGCCATGGGAGAAGACTTCGAAGCTGTGAAGCGAATTCTTGCGTCGGTGAACGCCACGGTCACCAAGGAGTTTTTCCGCGCCAATATGCAGAAATTCTCCGATTCGAATTCCACTTCGAATGATGCTCATAGCATACGATCGACGCATTCGCCGTCCGAGCATGAAAGTGCCAGTGAGGCTAAGAGCGAGGGGCTAGCTGCTAAGTTAGAGGAAGTCCTTGCGACCAACGCATCTACCAAAACCGAGAGTGAATCTCTTAACGGTGCAATAAGTAGCAATGAGGAGGAGGGCGAACGTCGGGCCGAGCGCAACGTCGAGTATGAAATGGACGGCGAGTCCATTGCAACCACGGATGCGCAACTTACCGAGGACGGGCGAAAAGTCCGCGTACGGTCGCTCATTTCCGACGAACAACTTAAAGTTCTCAAAGATAACTACGCGCTGAATCCTCGTCCGAAGCGCGAGGAATTATCGAAAATTGCCGAACAAATTGGGTTCCCGGTGCGGGTGGTCCAAGTGTGGTTTCAGAATACGCGCGCACGAGACCGACGAGAAGGTCGGCTTATTAACGTCCCATACAGTGCGCCGACATTGCTGCCGCCCGCCACTATGAGTTACCTCAAAATCTGCCAACCAATGGAAGACCAACCTTTAGATCTTTCCTTCAAGAGAGAACCTTCCAGGGATTCGTCCCCGTCAAATTCTCCTCCGCGGCCAGCATCCAGCCATCATTCCGGCGACTCCGGTGAAGACCTGATCAATCTGAGTCACAAATCTTCGCGAAGTCCCACGCCTTTCCTGCATGTGCCATACCATCAAGGATCCAATTCTTCAATGGACGCGCCACATCGGTCGCCCTCTCCGATTGATGTAAAGAGCAGTCGCCTTGCACAAATCCTTGCACAACCACATAAACTAGGTTTAGGGTTAGTGCCCATGGAGCGATTGATGCAATTCGGGCCACCGGATCTACCCAGCCTACAACAGATGATCAGAAATAGAATGTCTAACATCAGTCCCAATTCCGATAAGCGATCATCATGCTGGGGCGAGAATGGCGATCTGAATGTGGACGACGACGATTCCAATAGTAAACGTGCAAAGATGTCTTCGCTGCACATGATGACCAAGAGTCTGGGCAGTCCGAGCACACAAGATGGCGAATCGGAAGGGCAGTTTGCGTGCGACCAGTGTGATAAATCTTTTGCGAAGCAAAGCTCCTTAGCGCGTCACAAATATGAACATTCAGGTAATTCACGCGATTTTTAACCAATATTATTATATTCCTAAACATATTTTGTGTTAAATTTAGGCCAACGTCCTCACAAATGTAATGAATGTCCAAAGGCGTTCAAACATAAGCATCACCTAACGGAACACAAGCGACTCCACAGCGGCGAGAAGCCATTTCAGTGCTCCAAGTGCTTGAAACGTTTCTCGCACTCGGGTTCCTACAGCCAGCACATGAACCATCGTTACTCATACTGCAAACCGTACAGAGAATCGCCAGCGCCTATTAAAAACGAAGTAAGAACCGACTTATTCTAAATTTGCATAAATGATATGATTTTGCGCTCAAATACGTTGGAAGTTGTTTACTTAGCATAATTGTGTTTATCGGCCGGTACCTGTTAAATACTCAAACGTAGAGTCGTAGCAGTTGTAACGAATCCAACTGTCTTCCACGTGATACAGAAATGTAGATGGTTTGGTACCAAGATTTTTTTAGAATTTTGCAGGCATTTTGCGGGCACCGTGTAGCAATCTTATTCGATATTGAAAATGAATCTAAGTCATGTTTGGTGCAATCAACAACTTGATAATGCAATATAACGCACACACGTCTTGCAATCGTTTCTAAGTTTCCAAATTAAAATTACTCTGGATGGGAGTAATCTGTGATTTGAATATTGGCATGCATTAGTTAACAACGAGCCAGACAAGAGATTTATTCGATTTTATTTAAGAAAAACTAAGTTTGTAGATATGTACGATACCAGAATTTAAATATATATTATATATAGATGCTATTTAAGTGCCATACCAATGAATTTATTATAGAATGTAATAACAAATTGAACAAAACAAAAGGAAAACGCAGATATTTCACCGAAAAGCAGGTGTTGTAGGATAGGATTTGGTTTCTAATACATCGATTAGTCTTTAGTCCATGCCTTTCATTGCTTTGGAGTAAAAAATAAATGAAAACAAAAACAAACGAAGACGAAACGAAATGAGTACAATAATGTTATAATTTAGCCAGGAAGAGTAAAACACACGTCCGACCCACGCGACGTTTTCATGACAATACCTAGTGCTGATATAATAGATGTCACAACAACAAATACAATGAACAAATGGTGCAAGTCGTCGTATTTATTTATTGATTCTGATGTGAGAGATTTCACGAACAAGAGACGAGCGGAACTAAGTAATGATAAATTTTATAAGCATTTAATTGACCTAAGGAAACTTACATGAGTTTACCAAATGAAAAAAAAAACACTAAAGAATTAATGGAAAAAACCAACGGTGATTGTGTTACCCGATCGAATTGAAAATATTTTATAATACTTTAACGCCAGTAATGTACGTAATGATTGACATTACTAATTAAACAATAACTACGATTAATTATGAAAAATATATATATATATTATTCTAAGATAACTTAAAGATATGTATGAATCATTCCAATTTAAAAAGAGAAAGAAAGGAATATATTAAAAGTGTACCTAAATCTTAAGATATAAATATTTCCATGGTGTGTGAGGTAATAGTGTTAAGGATTTGTTGACAATAACAAAAACGTAGCCATTTGATATGAAACTATTTACTTACGATAAGTACTGCTATAGTTATTGCAAATATATAAATATATATATATAGCATTTAATAATTCAAACATTAACAATGTGAATCTCATGTGAATCAATTCGAAGACGAAGGGAAAAACTTAAGATACCATTTGCAAGAAATTAAACTATTATTATATAAAAAGTATATATATTATAAATTTTATTATGAAATGATTACCGTAAGTTCGATAAATCTCTGTGTATAGGTAGGGTTTTTGGTGATGAGGGATGTAAATATTTATATACATAGAAAGATAAACACGGCGATATTGATGATTTTCAAAATGAGGCACACACTTTTAAATTTCTCGTCCCTTATTATCGCAATTAATGTTTCTCTAATGTCCAACTGTCTTCAAAGCGTTAAGATTAGTCCTTGTCTAAAAAAACACACACACTAAAGGAAACATGATTTCATCTTATTTTTTATACTTATAGAAATATATACATACAATACCAGATTTATAAAAACAAAAATTTATAATTATTAGACTTACTTATTGATTCTATTGCCGATATTATGTGCATTAACTTTTATTATTGTTGTTGTGTGAATGGTAGATGTATTGTTTTATTTTTTAACCAATTTTTTTGCGTCGAATGTTAATTTTTATATAATTTTTTTTTCACAACTGGCTAGTACTACCAAAGAAATCTGTAATTAGATTCACAGCCATTTTTTTATTTACTTCCGTGTAATCTTAGTTTATATAAACGTTTTTTTATGTGCAAATTTTGTTACCTTTGTTTAAAAAATTTTTGGTTCTGTGAGCACGTGTATAAATTGAATCGATAAATGAAATGTCATTCGCAAGGATGTTACTTGTACATTCTCTATAATAATAATTGATTATATAAATAAGACGTTGAAATTGTATTTTACTCAATGCGACATGAATAATACATAAATAAAGTATAAGATTATTGTGTTAATTTGGGACCCTTCTCTACTCTAATATTTCCATGGCGTTTTCATTTTTAACTTGTTTTGCTTCCGCCAGTCGACTCTCGGGTGTTTTTTTCACGTAAGTTCTTGTAACCAAGTGTCTGGCTGGAGTCGGCTTCGGATCATCCAGGATATTTTCAATTGATATTGGTTTATTCTTCGTGATTTCTTTCGGTACTTGAATGCTTTTCTTCAAGAGTAGCCCGCCTTTTATTTCAACATTTTTCTGTTTTGCAACCGCGTCGAATTCAGTCTTCTTCATGGTGACTTTCTTTACTTTGTAAATGACGTCGCCTATCTTCATATCAACATATTGTTCATTGGGTAAGTCTTTAACAAACTCTTGTGTTATTCCTAAGTTGTCTAAATTTATATCTGAAGCTATATGTGATTCTGCAACCCGTTTCGCATCCGGTGTTTTCTTGTTTGTGTTTTTTCTCGCGTAGACTTTGGTACCTTCCGTGCGGATAATAGGTTTGATAGGTTCCAACGGTTCATCATCCTCATCCTCTTCACCAACTGCTTCTTCCAGAACAATTTCGTTCTCAACATCAGAGCCTAACTCTTCCTTTAGAAATTCTGCATATTTAGTCGCTTTTCTATGTCGCCTAACAACTTGAGTGTTGTCCTCCGCGTCTGTTGTGATTGTATACTCAACCATTTCATCATCATCGCCATCTTCATCCATTGTATCGTCATTGTCAGTGTCCTGCAAGCGTTTATTCCTTGCTTCTTGTGTTACCTCTTGTTCTATCTGTTCCTCGTATTCCATTTCTGCATGTTTTAACTCATGTTCCTCAAGGTGATCTTGAGTTTCAAATGAATAATCACATTTATCGCATGGGTACGGTAATCCTGCTAAATGTGTGGTGATATGTTCCTTCACATCCTTTGCATTAAAGAATCCAGTGTTACAAATAACGCATTTTAAATTGACCATTGAATGAATGGCACTATGATTGATCAGCGAATCCTTGCGGCGGAAAGACATACTACACACATCGCACTTGTGTTGTCCAACTGGTTCAACCGCCAACGACTTAGTTGCATAGTGACTCCTCATGTGTCTGGTCAGGTGGTGAGAAAGCAGGAAAGTCCGTCCGCACATCTTGCAAGGATACGGACGCAAACCGGCGTGAGAGGTAATATGACGCATCAATTTAATTGGCGACGTGAAGCTCGCCTCGCAATAATTACATTTGTGGGGTTTTTCATCAGCGTGGCTTGCTTCATGCCTTTCTAAGCCTTGTTTGAATACGAATTTCTTCGTACAGATACGACAAGTAAACGGTCGTTTTTTCTTGTGTTTCTCTGTATGCGCATCGAGATCCTCGCGTGTGAGGAATGTCTTATCACACTCCTGGCATAAATACTTAGGTACATCGACATGTACTTTTTCATGTCGATGCAGGAGTGATTCGCGCGCGAACATTTTATTGCAGATCACACACGTAAACGGCTTGTCCATTGTGTGTGTCTGGACATGTTTAGCAAGATCATATTTTGTGAAAAAGCGACGATCACATAGATCGCATTGGAAACACCTTTCGCGATCGTGGTTTTTCATGTGCAGCTCAAGAAGCTGTTTGAGTGGAAATGATCTTTCACATCTAGTGCAAGGAAACACATCAGTTGTTACCTGAGGTATCTTCATCATGTGATTCAGTGGAATATCTTCTGAATTTGCATCTTCTTCTTCTTCAAAATCTTGCAGGAGCTCACAACTTTGAATTTGGGAGCCATCCTGTGAGCTCTCATTAATATATTCAATGGTGTTGTCATCAATGTACTGCAACACAGGAGCTTCAGTGGCTTTTTGCTCTTCAGCTTGGACTGGTTCTTTTGTTGCAATTGATTTTTCCTTGAGAGTTTCATTTAGTGGTTTTTTCTTCACAACCTGAACTTCATCAACTGTTTTTTGTTTTGATTCTACCAGCTTCTTTAAAACACCAGTTGTCAAATATAATTTGAAAGCATCATCAGCTTTCTTTGCAGTTGCTTTGAACAGGTATGCTCTATTTGTTTGTAACTTGCAGGGCTCACAAATAACCTGAGGCATTCCATCATTTTCAAAGGCCTAAAACGACAATGGTTAAGAAGCGCGCTTAAATTGGTTGATACAGTTTACATACCTCAATAGCACAGCAGGCCATGATCTGTAGCGGGAGCGGAATTCGCTGCTTGCCTGTTTCGGGTGCATTTCCATGGTAAATATTGGAAAATGGGCCTTTGTCGTCTAAGCAAAGTCTACAGATTTGCATCGAGCGCAAATTGCTCGCGCGCTCTTCCATACCCAATGTCGGTTTTTTCAACGGATCGCGCTCAAAGTTGGTAAATTTCGTAGAACACACCTCGAAAATCTATAAACTCTACACTGGTCTACAACGAATCACAAAAATGGTGGTCGGCTTGGCTTGGATTGATTCTTTAATAAAAGTGACCTCTAGATAGCAAGAATTGAAGTATTATGGAGGAAAGCTTTGGTTTACATGGTCACCGTGTGGTGAGCTTTTGCTATGCTATTTTCAAACTTATATTGAAGCATTTTGAACACTAATCTGTATCTTTGAGCTAATAACATACATTTTTTCTTGTTATATTCTTAATTCTTCTTGTAGTTGCAAAAGCAGTTCCAAGGGATGGGTTTTCTTTGCCTTCATCTTTCCGCGTTGTGTTTTTCTGATTACTATATAGCTTTTGGTTGAAGAGTTACTCCTCTCACTACTAGGGGGGGCTTTTGGATCAATACTTGCTTTCTCCCACCAGTGCAATAATTTTGAATCTAGGATATGTGCTGCCATCTGCTGTATCTTCTAGAATACCATTAAATTTATGCTATGTAGACTAGTAAAAAAATAGCACAACGCTACACATTTTTGATAATTCAAAAGTCATGAAAACAAAGCTATTTATCTTGCTACAACTCTTGATGATTTAGAAAACTTTGTCCCCTAGACAGAATTTTATAGCAAATTAGTAGAAACATAAAATCTAGGAAACTTGAGAGGTCGCTAGTTAGCTCACTTCGTGCTTGTGCTTGGTGATTTGGCCAAACGTGTCTGTGACGTGTGCAACGTGTACGATTTCACCGAGCGTAATCAGTTTACGTTCGCTGTTGACTTGTCAGTTGTGAACAGTCACATTTTGTCGTTTTCATCGAATCATTCACATTTCTTCAATTAAAATATTCAACAACAGAATCGAAAATGGTCTCCAACACCGTGTCGTCCCTGACGATTTTATTATCGTTGATCTCTGTGGGTCTTTGCAACGTCTGCTCGTCTCCTGAGGTGGTTACCACATCGTTCACAACTCAAGATGCTACGATTGTCGCCAATATCGCCTACATCGGCGAGTTTTCCATCAAATGTGGCACTGGATCTGCAGGTAATCTGTACGCAGAAGTCGACGACAACATCGTACCCGTATCCATCATTGGCAGCAACCAGTACCAGGTGAGCTGGACTGAAGATACCAAAACCGCGCGCAGCGGCGACCGTAAGGTGAGGATCTTCACCGAGGATGGTTACACCGCATACCGTAAAGCTGTTCGTGCTGGCGAGTGCACCTCCAGCATTGAGTCTCTTACTGAAATTGTTGTCAACCACCCAGGTGCTTTCTATGGCCCATGGTTGAAGAGTGAATTTTTGGCTATTGTTATGTCCATTGTTGTGGCATATGTGGCTATTAGTTCTAAGTCCAAGTTGTCTTCATAAGATTCATAGCGAAATAAATTATTAATTTTGTATGTAAAAATAAATATAAACTTTATATTATATTTATTATTCGTGTTTGCCGCGCACATTCCTGCTGTGAAGGTCATTGGGTTCATTTGAACAGTTGTGGAACGTGAAGTGCATTGAAGTCAAGTGCAGCGCCTGTCAATATCGTCAAATTGATTGTCGAAACTGGTCGGAACGGTTATATTTGCAGTGACTAAGTACATAAGTTGGACCCGGAGCCAGTGTAGAGGTGGTATACTCGTACAGTCAGTTTTATTTCGCAGTTTCGTTACATACGCGGTTACAAGCATGTCAAGAGCGTACGATATCGTGATTTTTGGTGCTACCGGCTTCACCGGCAAGCACACCATTCCCCAGGTGGAGAAGCTATCCAAAGAAAATGGCAGGAACTATTCCTGGGCGGTGGCTGGCCGGTCAGAGTCCAAACTGCTGGCGGTTCTCAAGGAAATGGGCGACAAAATCGGTAATACCGGCTTTTTTTGATACATCATTTCTTATCTTTTATCTATGTGGCATGTATGCAGGCAAAGATCTGTCAAAAACACCTTTGATTATTGCTGATGTCAATGATGTTCAATCTTTGGCTAACATGGCAATGCAAGCAAGAATCATCATCAACACTTGTGGTCCTTACAAGTTCTTTGGTGAACCTGTTGTCAAGGCCTGTGTTGAGAATGGTTGCCACCATGTTGATGTAAGTGGTGAGCCCTTCTTCATTGAGAATATGCAGTTGAAATACCATGAGGAGGCCCAAAAGAAAGGAGTCTATATCATCAGTGCATGTGGTTTTGATAGTGTGCCTGCTGATTTAGGTCTCATGTATTTGCGATCGCAGTTTGAAGGCACTCTGAATTCCGTTGAGACTTACCTGACCAGTGGGGTGGTTGGTGGGCCATATCCTGGCCCTTCAATTAACTATGGAACTTGGGAATCCGCCGTTCATGGTGTCGGTGCGTTCGCAGAACTTAAAGACTTGCGTCGTAAATTGTACCCGACTAAACTCCCGAAATTCAATCCAAAATTGTCTCTCAGGGGCGCTGTCCACAAGTGCTCTTTCAATAACAAGTACGCTTTACCCTTTATGGGTTCTGATCGTAGCGTCATGCAACGTACACAGCGCTTTTTATACGAAGAAGAAAAATTACGCCCGGTACAAGTTGGTACTTACTTCTGTGTTGATAGTATCATTTCTATTTTGATCATGGCTGTAATGGGTGGCATTTTTATGACGTTGAGCAAGTTTGAATTCGGTCGCAACTTGCTACTTAAGGTATATAATTGCATAACATATTTATGTTTTTATTTATTTATTAATTTGTTTATAATATAGTATCCGGGATTTTTCTCTTTGGGATTCTTCTCCCATGAGGGTCCATCCGACGAGAAAATGCAGAACACCAAATTTGCTATCACTTTGATTGGAGAGGGCTGGTCTACTAAACAGGATGATTGCAATGCCGATTTTCCAACATCGCCTGACAAAAAAGTTATTGCTCAGGTTAATGGCACCAATCCTGGTTACGGGGCTACTTGTATGGCACTTACATTGTGCGCTCTAACTATTTTGGATGATCCTGCAAAATTGCCGAAAAAGTAATTGTGTCTTCATTTTTTTCTACAAATATTAATTAATGTTTGATATTTTCAACAGAGGTGGAGTGTACAGCCCAGGCGCCACCTTCCATAATACTTCTATCATCAAGGAGCTTCACAAAAATGGACTGACTTTCGAAGTTGTTGAGAAGAAGTAGATGTCTAATTGTACTTCAAGTGGGTAACTGCTTTTGCTTTATCATTCAAAGGTGAATGTATAATTGCTATTGCTTAATAATAGGTAAATATGGAACTATATTCTTTTATATCTACTGTATATGATGTAACTAATTAATTAAAAGGGAAACATACTATTATATACTATTTTTCATCCATCACACATTTTCAGTTGTTTCCATTTTAGTTTTAGTTACCTTGTTCTGAATCAAACGTCAAACTTGTTACATATTTTAACTGAAATCCAGGATAGCGTTGAATGTTAATTAATTATTCTTACCTGTCAAATACAGTAGAAGTGCCAAAATGGCGCAGCGAAAGGTTTATTCCGGTAACGAGGAATCATTTCAAGTATTTCTGTTTATATCTGTAATTTTGATGGTGAGTGTTCTGATGCGTTGGTTAGTTAGAAGATTCAACGTGTTCCCGCAAGGTGTATTAACGATTTTATTGGGTATTGCAATGGGATTACTTTACATGGTTGGCGGAGATCAATTGGAGATAAGTAGTAGAAACATGATGGGCAAAATAGCGACGAAATACGTGATTGACGGCTACGTGCCAATATTTATTGTGTCCACCATGTACCGTATAAACTATCCCAACTTTCTGAAGTATTTACCGCAAGTAATGTTAATAACATTCTTCGGGGGCGTCATCAGCCCATTGCTATTGGGCTTTATTTTGTCACGTACAATGAACAATGATTTAACTTTCACGTGTGGAGTGATGCGTGCCATAGCTGTCGTTCCAATTGAACCATTATATGCCGTGGGGATTTTAAAACGTCTTGCCAGATTCAAGTATTTGGAAACTATTTTGGAAGCTGAATCTGTCATACTGATGATACCAGTATATTTAATGTTAGATATGTTCCACGGCATTCAAATTGGCAATCTTACCGAGTGGTATCATGTAATGAATCTTACCTTACGTCATGCTATATTTGGTTTCGCAATCGGTTATCTTGCTGGAAAACTGCATGTACTTTGTATGGTGTATATCGACTCTGAAACGTATTATACTTTCGGAGTGTCCATCTTTATGACATATGGCATTTATGTTTTAACCGAATTTCTTGCATTCGGCAATGCGCAGTTGGCTTTGCTTTGTAACATTTGCCAAGTTTTGAGTAAACGACATAAGTTATCACCACAAGTCGATGCGAATGTGGTGGAAATGTGGGCGACCATTCAATATTTAAGCGAAACGGTCTGGCTGACATTTGTCACCATTCAATTTACTTTATATCTGGCTTATAACTTTTACATCAGCATGGCGTATGGAGCAATATTGATTTATATCACAACATTGTTTCTTCGATTAGTTGGACTAGTTTTACTGAGTCCTTTGCTTTGGAAAATGTCGAATGAAATCAACTTGAAGGCTATTTTAGTCCTGACATGGAGCGGTATCAGAGGACCAATGGCTTTGAACTTTTCCCAAATGTTTTTTAACTGCAAAGTCATCACCAAAACCGATTCATTTCTATTTGAGGTTTTTGTAACTGTCCTTATTGGCTTGTTGCTGAATTCAAGCAGTATGAAGCAGTTGTTACGAATGATTGGATATTCAAGACTGTCAACATCGCAAAGAACAAATATGAATCTTTATGTGGATATGTTAAACAAGAAAGCGCAATACATAATCTACAACTTGAAATTTAGAAGGTAAACCACCATTATAATATATTGCAGTTCATTCCACAGTTCTAATTTTGCAGATACTTTGTGGGAACTTATTGGGTTTTAGTGCGAGACTTTGTGAAATTGAATTATTCTTCTGACGAAGCAGATGATAACTATAAAAGTCACATCTTTGAAGGGAAGGCATGCGATCATTGTGAGATGGATGTTCCATACAATATTACTGAATCAGAATTATCCGCGTTGCTTTTGTAAGACAAACATTAATATTCCTTTGTAACCATTTTAAATATTTTTTCTTGTAGAGAAAATGAAACAAAGATAACAAAATTGAAGAAAATATTTCTGATTAATCAATACCTTCGGGGTAGTATCGACAAGCGATGTCTTGAATTAATCACCAAGAAATTGGAAAGAAAGCTAGACTTTTCAAGGCATCGTCAAACCTGCATTGAATTAAGTGTTTATTTTAAACCGGGGGTAATATTTGTTAATGTGCTTATCAGATATTAACCATCTAAATTGATTTATGTTGTAGAAAGTTTTGAAATGTTGTCACATAATTCTTAAGAAATTGTCTGCTACACCAAAGATAATACCGCCACCGAGAACGTGTCCAATGCGACAGTTAGTTTATTACTTTACAATGCATATTGCGTATGACTATGTCATGTATGCCATAACGCTAGCCAATTCTATATTTATTTTATGGAATGTTCGATATTGCTGTAATTGGATGTTTGATTATCATGTGGCTTTATGGTGCTTTTATATTGGAGATTTTGTATTGAAAATCTATGGCTTGTCGCACAAACGACTCATTACATCTGCGTGTGAGCCATACTTCAGTAAGAAAAGCAACTGGATAGACGCATTCTGCTTGTGGGTAACGCCAATCAGTTTATTCTTTGTGGGTAATAATGCTTTATTTGGCTGGACCGTGTTTTATATTGTTCCGTCAGTGAGATTAATTGCGGCGTTACGTTTATTGACGTTTTTTTCGTTGCTGTATCCGATATGTCCCATACTTTTAAAGTATATCGAATACAAGAGTAATTTGCGCACTTGTTTTGGATATGAGCTTGGATTTGCTTTAACACAATGCGATAATGATGTGCTTGCCGTTTTACAAGAGATTCTGGAGTTAAAAACGATTCGGAACGTTTTCCGTAAAGAAATGATTGGGAATAAAGAAGCACTGGAACGGCAAATGCTGCAAATGCAACGAGAAAAGCCGTACATTGCTCTTACTGTGAAGACAAAGCAAGCGATTCAAATAACGTTAAATGCGTTGAAACGACGCTTGCAGGAACTGCAGCAGTTTAGTATATTTGAATTACGAGAATGTAATTATATTGCGGGACTACTAGCACAACAGCAAAAGAACATCAAAGCCATAACGATTGTGCAAACATATTCAACGCACGAAATATTAAAGAGTATCCCCTGGATTGGCACAAATGGGCTGTATGAATATTTTTTTCCAAATGTAAAAATGATTTCATGGAATGCTGGCGATTTAGTTCAGTCAAAAGGCAAAGTATCTCAGGGAATTTATGTAATTGTGACTGGCATGCTGCGTTTGCATTTAATGTCTAATATGCAAGAACTATCCAATGATGGATCTCTTCCGATTATTGATAATCTTTCATCGGTCGATTACAGCAAAGCAGAAGAACTTCTACTTTCCGGGGACATTGTGGGCGAGTTGAGTTTTATTACGGGACGCCCTTATGACTGCAATATTGTGGCTGAATCTTTCTGTCAAGCATATTGGTTTACACCTGAACTTTTACAAAAAGGATATGAAACTTATAACAATCCTGTAATTGGTCTGGAATGTCAAATTTGGAGAAATTGTTGTTTGAAAATAACGATTGCAATATTGATGAAAATTCCTGTTTATGAAACTCGCACGCAAGCTGAGATTAAACAGAATTTAGATCATTGCTTTATGCCTAATCTACGTTGTTACAAAACCTTTGTTTTAACTGACAAAATTAGTGATGTGTTGTTGATTGAAGGACGGGTGAAAAGTGCACTAACGGGGGAGATTTTTAAAGCGCCTATGCTAATTCCACATGCTGTGCAACGAATCCTGCTCACACTTACCAGCGACGAGTCGCTTTTTTCACAAATCTCACTACAGAAAATGGTACGCACTAAATTAATGATAGTGCCAATTGATGGCGTCACTCCAATTGAAGTAATGAGGGAGGAGGAAGAATTAGCTGAATTCATTGTAGGGACATCCAGTCAATATTTATTAACGCATAAAAGTTTAAAGAAAAGCCGGGTCACCAGCTTTACCAACGTTCCAGTTGAAAACGTTGATTCAGTAAGTTTAGTGAATTTTGTGTGTTTATTATACTAGCAACGTATTCATATTTGTATAGCTTTCCATGAAAAGCTATGAATGGCGAGCCGATAAAGAAGTAACTCCTTTGGATCCCGTTCCGGATGTGTTTTTAAAACTGAATTCGAGTTTTTATGGTAAACGTTTGAAGAAACCAAAAAAATGTATATAGCTTAATGTTTGAATCTTTCAGATGAATCTCGCGAAATGTTGCTTATGCAGAGAAGTCGTCGGGTCCGAATGCAGTCTAGCTCGAATTTATCACGACTTTTAGACACCCCAAAACAAATTGACGATCTTAGTGACGAAGATTGAGATGTTACAGTTTCACTGACCATGGATAATTGCCATGAGCTTGCTATGCTCTGCTTATTTCATAACATTACATTACATTACAAATAGAACATTCCAGAGGAATTTTTTGAAATAAAATGCGTATCATGTATTATTTGCAAAAACATGATATGCTGCATTTCTCACATCATCAGATATAATTGGATATATTTGATATTTTTAGATATATGTTAAAAAAATACACCAAATGAACACATTGCAAAGCCACTTCAATGAATGACAAGCTGAAATTTTTACGCAAGTCATGGTGAGTTTGCCAAGCCATTACATAATTGTAGATATGTGTCCAATTGAGTGCGAGATGCGATGTTTTAATCAAAATATGAATTAACTGTGACCTTCAGTGCAAGGCCACAGCAACTGCCTCACTATAACAAATACACCCATTCCGTTTGCGGAGCGCTGGGTGCGCTGTGAATTAGGCAGCTAATTTGAGTTTGTTTGAAAACTGTGGGAGTACTAACAGATAGGTATAAAGCCGGCGAGCACTGTAGGAAGCGAACCAGTTTAAACTGTGCTTGTAAAGCACTTAGATCGCGTTTTGAAATCTTGTAACTTTAGTCTAATTTATTTAAATATGGAACGTTGGGTGGGCAAAGTTGCTGTTGTTACTGGAGCTAGTGCTGGAATAGGCGAATCTATTGCCGAGAAATTGGTGAAGGCTGGTGTTTTGGTAAGTAATGATTATACAAATCAATGAAAACTTTAATTTATTGTGAATAAGACGTTAATAGTGATACTGAATTTAACAGGTTGTTGGACTGGCTCGTCGCGTCGAAAAAATAGAAGCCAACGCAAAGAAACTCTCTAACTGCAAAGGAAAACTCTACGCAGTAAAATGTGACATGACCAAAGAGGAAGACATTGTTAACGCCTTCCAGTGGACAACTAAAAATGTCGGACTAGTGCATGTCCTTGTAAATAATGCCGGCGGCAACCCAGGAACGAATCTCATTGATGGTGATACCTCTCGTTGGCGGCAATGTTTCGAAACTAATGTTATTGGTCTCCTATCCGCTTCCCGGGAAGCGATCAAAATCATGCGCGCGAACAATATCGAGGGCCAAATTGTGAATATCAGCAGCGTGCTGGCTCACGTAAACATGTATTTCCCCACAGTCAATGTGTACGCCGCCACCAAACACGCTCTGAACAACTTGAACGATGTAATTCGACAAGAACTCAACATGAATAAACTTAATATCAAAGTATGCAGTGTAAGCCCCGGTGCTGTAGACACAGAGTTTATCAACGACGATAACTGTCCGGCGGCGATGCGCGCCATGTTTGATAGAACAACGTTTTTGAAGGCAGAAGAGGTAGCTGATACCGTTATGTATGTTATTGGTACTCCACCGAGTGTGCATATTAGCGAGATGATTGTACGACCACCCTTCTCTATGTGTTAAATAAATATGTTTTTAATAACAATTTTTATTTATGCAACTATCAAAATAACTAAATATTTCTAAAATAACTTTACCACTTTTAAAGCGCCAGTTTTTCCATGGTTTTAAGATGTGGTACAGAAAACACGGACGGTTAAAGCCGTGGCCGAACGTAAAAATCACTTGTACCCACAATTTTGAACTTTTAAAGGGTAAGGGTACTGAGGTAATTGAAATTTTTCTATTCTGTTTTCGTTTCATTTGAATAAGTATATCCTATTGACTTCTATATTTGAAGTTTTCAGTTATGTGTAAAAATTGTTATTTGTTTAGGTAGGGTGGTGCATGCGCACTCTCGTGTACGTGTTATACACGGCCACGGCCACTTAAGTGCGTGACCACTCACTGATACATACGCAATCGCTCACTGACTCATATGTACGCCACCGTTTTTGAAACGCTTTGTATTTTCTGGAGGTACAATAAAGTATTCTCAGGTAACGCAACGATGCATGTTTTAACTAAAAATATTCCTGCGAGTGAAAGTCGACGTGCACAGTTGTGATGCCGGCACGCAGCTCTTACTTCGTGCGGCAGATAAGAATATTCCGTCGAGTATTCGTGTTTCTCGTTGTAAATTCGGCATATCGCGTTATATTTTATTGAATTTGGTGTTAATTGCCTTGTTTAGTGATTCGGTAAATATTTATCGCGTATATCTTCGGAATCGGAATCTTCGGAATTCGATAATTTGTGTGTTTATTACATTTTCGTGTGTATTTCTGATTGGTTGTCGTCGGACGCCGGCCGGCAGACTTTGTGTGTGATTATAAATAATATTTTGGACTTGTGCAAAGCATTTTTGATTTCTGCACAACTTGCTGGCTCAATGTGTTACCTGGTAAGAATACTAATTTAAATAATTATGGAGAACAAGACGAAATTTATGGTAAACTTTGGGTTCCGCCGAAACTCATTGTCCGCAATTATGTAACTAATGTTTTGTTTCTTCTTTATTTCAGTGTCTACTCACATTTGATTTGCGGTATTCGATACACTGGTAAGTAATATTTTTCATCATTCATAGTATCTGTTTTCCTGATTTCTTGCAATTAGAAAATTGATATCTTTTGCGGCAATCTTTGCTTCAATAAATGCTTCAATAATACTCAAATCATAAATCATAATTTCATGATTTAAATTTTAGTTCACTAGCATGAACTAAAAATCATAAAATAGAATTGTATTCGTTTTGAATCATATCACTGTTTGTGTATATTCCACTTCCTTATCGCATTCGCCGTGCGAGATGCTACGCGTAAGATTCTCGTCGCGCTGTCGCATGCAGCACATTTTAGTTTAGTTCTTATCACAGGTACCGTGTCTATTGCAATTCGTGTACAAGGTCGCGTGCAATCGACGCGCAGCCTTCTTTGCGCATCTATTGCAATTCGCGTACAAGGTCGCGTGGCATCGACGCGCTGGCTTTGCGCATCTATTGCTTTTACCTGCCGGGTTTATGCAGCAGGCAAAGAGTCTTGTTGTGAACTGTCGCATTCTTGCGTGCGCAGTTTCGGCATGCTCTATCGATGGATTGCAGCTAGTTTCGTGCCGGTCTCTGGCGTATCCAGACGTATATCGCACAAGTGTTTCGTTTTATCAGACTTCTATTTTCAAAGTTTGCATTATATTCGGTCAACAATCGACCTAGTCGTAATATGCATCTGCAGTGTTTTCTTAATAAGTAATTGTGCGTTTAATGTGCATAAATGTATTTTTGCTTGCTTTTGATATTTCAAATCAAATATTTCGGTTATTGTGTGACGTGGTCGATCGCTAGATCAATCGGAAACCTATTCGTGCTTGAGTAAGTTACTTTTATCTGACCATTGCGATACTCAGCACAGAAAGTTTGATTTCTCCCATGTGTGAATATAATATTATCATATTGTAAGAAATGTTTTTGTTTTAACTTATATTTGGTTTTAATTACAGTACTTGCCGTACCCTTGCAATCCGATGAGCGCTGCATTGGTAAGTTTATAATTAAGTTATAATATTAGGCTAAATGTTTTATCACATTTCACCTGCGTCTTGCAATAGCCCACGAATTAGGGGGGCCGTATATATTTCATTTAATGGTAATATGAAAAACGGATCATATTGCGGAAAACCTTTGTGAAGTGTTCAAATTTTTTATCGGTTTCGGATAGCGCAAGAGGGGTTTTGTTGATTTTTTTATTGATTTAGTTGACTCACATTTGGTGTACCGCAGCAGGGTGGCGATTGAAGTGACTCGTGTTCAGAGCACCGTAAAGGGTGACGGTAAAAGTGAATCGTGTTTGAGAACCTTATGAGAATGAATGTATAGCTGATTTTTATTCGGTCATATTTTTTATTATGAATTAAAATTTCATCTCTCAGACTTCCGTTTTAACTATCCTATCTGATAGAGATTGGTCCGTAGATTAAGACGCTGCGATCAGATCTTAATTATCTCTCTTAGTTTACGAGATATTCGCGATTGAATAAAATGGGCAAAAATTGCAAAATGTCACTTTTTAGCACTTTTAGTCGCGTTTTTCGACCTGTTGCTGTAGGAAATATAATTATTTTATATTTTTATCTAGCAAATAGAATTATTTTATATTTTTATCTGATAAACTCTTTTAACTATCCTATCTGATAGAGTTTGGTCCGTAGATTAAGACGCTGCGATCAGATCTTATTTATCTCGTTTAGTTTACGAGATATTCGCGATTGAATAAAATGGGCAAAAATTGATAAATGTCACTTTTTAGCACTTTTAGTCGCGTTTTTCGACCATTTACCATAGGAAATATAATTGTTGTATATTTTTATCTGATTGAGAATTTTCCAATCTTTCATAATCAACAATTCGTTGGTCGGTATCTCTTTTAGTTTAAGAGATATGAATTTTTGAAAATCGTCGAAAAAAGTATCAAGCACCCCCCCTTGGCAATTTTTTTCTTAAGATTGAAAATTTCATCTCTCAGATTTCCCTTTTAACTATCCTATCTGATAGAGATTAGTCCGTAGATTAAGACGCTGCGATCAGATCTTAATTATCTCTCTTAGTTTACGAGATATTCGCGATTGAATAAAATGGGCAAAAATTGCAAAATGTCACTTTTTAGCACTTTTAGTCGCGTTTTTCGACCATTTACCGTAGGAAATATAATTGTTGTATATTTTTATCTGATTGAGAATTTTCCAATCTTTCATAATCAACAATTCGTTGGTAGCTATCTCTTTTAGTTTAAGAGATATGAATTTTTGAAAATCGTCGATAAAAAGTATCAAGCACCCCCCCTTGGCAATTTTTTTCTTAAGATTGAAAATTTCATCTCTCAGATTTCCCTTTTAACTATCCTATCTGATAGAGATTAGTCCGTAGATTAAGACGCTGCGATCAGATCTTAATTATCTCTCTTAGTTTACGAGATATTCGCGATTGAATAAAATGGGCAAAAATTGCAAAATGTCACTTTTTAGCACTTTTAGTCGCGTTTTTCGACCATTTACCATAGGAAATATAATTATTGTATATTTTTATCTGATTGAGAATTTTCCAATCTTTCATAATCAACAATTCGTTGGTCGGTATCTCTTTTAGTTTAAGAGATATGAATTTTTGAAAATCGTCGAAAAAAGTATCAAGCACCCCCCCTTGGCAATTTTTTTCTTAAGATTGAAAATTTCATCTCTCAGATTTCCCTTTTAACTATCCTATCTGATAGAGATTAGTCCGTAGATTAAGACGCTGCGATCAGATCTTAATTATCTCTCTTAGTTTACGAGATATTCGCGATTGAATAAAATGGGCAAAAATTGCAAAATGTCACTTTTTAGCACTTTTAGTCGCGTTTTTCGACCATTTACCGTAGGAAATATAATTGTTGTATATTTTTATCTGATTGAGAATTTTCCAATCTTTCATAATCAACAATTCGTTGGTAGCTATCTCTTTTAGTTTAAGAGATATGAATTTTTGAAAATCGTCGAAAAAAAGTATCAAGCACCCCCCCTTGGCAATTTTTTTCTTAAGATTGAAAATTTCATCTCTCAGATTTCCCTTTTAACTATCCTATCTGATAGAGATTAGTCCGTAGATTAAGACGCTGCGATCAGATCTTAATTATCTCTCTTAGTTTACGAGATATTCGCGATTGAATAAAATGGGCAAAAATTGCAAAATGTCACTTTTTAGCACTTTTAGTCGCGTTTTTCGACCTGTTACTGTAGCAAATATAATTATTTTGTATTTTTATCTTATAGAGAATGTTCCAATCTTTCATAATCAACGATTCGTTGGTAGCTATCTCTTTTAGTTTAAGAGATATGAATTTTTGAAAATCGTCGAAAAAAAGTATCAAGCACCCCCCCTTGGCAATTTTTTTCTTAAGATTGAAAATTTCATCTCTCAGATTTCCCTTTAACTATCCTATCTGATAGAGATTAGTCCGTAGATTAAGACGCTGCGATCAGATCTTAATTATCTCTCTTAGTTTACGAGATATTCGCGATTGAATAAAATGGGCAAAAATTGATAAATGTCACTTTTTAGCACTTTTAGTCGCGTTTTTCGACCATTTACCGTAGGAAATATAATTGTTGTATATTTTTATCTGATTGAGAATTTTCCAATCTTTCATAATCAACAATTCGTTGGTAGCTATCTCTTTTAGTTTAAGAGATATGAATTTTTGAAAATCGTCGAAAAAAGTATCAAGCACCCCCCCTTGGCAATTTTTTTCTTAAGATTGAAAATTTCATCTCTCAGATTTCCCTTTTAACTATCCTATCTGATAGAGATTAGTCCGTAGATTAAGACGCTGCGATCAGATCTTAATTATCTCTCTTAGTTTACGAGATATTCGCGATTGAATAAAATGGGCAAAAATTGCAAAATGTCACTTTTTAGCACTTTTAGTCGCGTTTTTCGACCATTTACTGTAGGAAATATAATTGTTGTATATTTTTATCTGATTGAGAATTTTCCAATCTTTCATAATCAACAATTCGTTGGTAGCTATCTCTTTTAGTTTAAGAGATATGAATTTTTGAAAATCGTCGAAAAAAGTATCAAGCACCCCCCCTTGGCAATTTTTTTCTTAAGATTGAAAATTTCATCTCTCAGATTTCCCTTTTAACTATCCTATCTGATAGAGATTAGTCCGTAGATTAAGACGCTGCGATCAGATCTTAATTATCTCTTTTAGTTTACGAGATATTCGCGATTGAATAAAATGGGCAAAAATTGCAAAATGTCACTTTTTAGCACTTTTAGTCGCGTTTTTCGACCTTTTACTGTAGGAAATATAATTATTTTATATTTTTATCTGATAGAGAATTTTCCAATCTTTCATAATCAACAATTCGTTGGTAGCTATCTCTTTTAGTTTAAGAGATATGAATTTTTGAAAATCGTCGAAAAAAAGTATCAAGCACCCCCCCTTGGCAATTTTTTTCTTAAGATTGAAAATTTCATCTCTCAGATTTCCTTTTAACTATCCTATCTGATAGAGATTAGTCCGTAGATTAAGACGCTGCGATCAGATCTTAATTATCTCTTTAGTTTACGAGATATTCGCGATTGAATAAAATGGGCAAAAATTGCAAAATGTCACTTTTAGCACTTTTAGTCGCGTTTTTCGACCATTTACTGTAGGAAATATAATTGTTGTATATTTTTATCTGATTGAGAATTTTCCAATCTTTCATAATCAACAATTCGTTGGTAGCTATCTCTTTTAGTTTAAGAGATATGAATTTTTGAAAATCGTCGAAAAAAGTATCAAGCACCCCTTGGCAATTTTTTCTTAAGATTGAAAATTTCATCTCTCAGATTTCCTTTTAACTATCCTATCTGATAGAGATTAGTCCGTAGATTAAGACGCTGCGATCAGATCTTAATTATCTCTTAGTTTACGAGATATTCGCGATTGAATAAAATGGGCAAAAATTGCAAAATGTCACTTTTTAGCACTTTTAGTCGCGTTTTTCGACCATTTACTGTAGGAAATATAATTATTGTATATTTTTATCTGATTGAGAATTTTCCAATCTTTCATAATCAACAATTCGTTGGTAGCTATCTCTTTTAGTTTAAGAGATATGAATTTTTGAAAATCGTCGAAAAAAAGTATCAAGCACCCCCTTGGCAATTTTTTCTTAAGATTGAAAATTTCATCTCTCAGATTTCCTTTTAACTATCCTATCTGATAGAGATTAGTCCGTAGATTAAGACGCTGCGATCAGATCTTAATTATCTCTTTAGTTTACGAGATATTCGCGATTGAATAAAATGGGCAAAAATTGCAAAATGTCACTTTTAGCACTTTTAGTCGCGTTTTTCGACCATTTACTGTAGGAAATATAATTGTTGTATATTTTTATCTGATTGAGAATTTTCCAATCTTTCATAATCAACAATTCGTTGGTAGCTATCTCTTTTAGTTTAAGAGATATGAATTTTTGAAAATCGTCGAAAAAAAGTATCAAGCACCCCCCCTTGGCAATTTTTTTCTTAAGATTGAAAATTTCATCTCTCAGATTTCCCTTTTAACTATCCTATCTGATAGAGATTAGTCCGTAGATTAAGACGCTGCGATCAGATCTTAATTATCTCTCTTAGTTTACGAGATATTCGCGATTGAATAAAATGGGCAAAAATTGCAAAATGTCACTTTTTAGCACTTTTAGTCGCGTTTTTCGACCATTTACTGTAGGAAATATAATTATTGTATATTTTTATCTGATTGAGAATTTTCCAATCTTTCATAATCAACAATTCGTTGGTAGCTATCTCTTTTAGTTTAAGAGATATGAATTTTTGAAAATCGTCGAAAAAAAGTATCAAGCACCCCCCCTTGGCAATTTTTTTCTTAAGATTGAAAATTTCATCTCTCAGATTTCCCTTTTAACTATCCTATCTGATAGAGATTAGTCCGTAGATTAAGACGCTGCGATCAGATCTTAATTATCTCTCTTAGTTTACGAGATATTCGCGA